GTCATGTTTGGGATTTTGCACACAACCATTTTCAAACCCTGTAGGTGTTTTGTATTTGTAAATTTTCCTAAAAACCCAATCTTTAAAGRTGACCCATTGGTATTAGTGTTGGGCATCACTATATTTATCTCACCTTGGCTTTGATTTTCTGTCACCCATGACATAGTTAACAAGAAAAATGTGCTCAATTTCCTGCTGTATAAATAAAATGCCAATCTGCAGCGAGCTGTGAGATTCCTGTGTTTCGGTACGACCTAGTTTACTCCATGCTCATCTTGCGAAAGTAAATTCCAAATCGGTTGAAGAAAGCATGGAAGCAAGTGGCTCAGGTGTGTGGCTCGGATGAATTGCTTTCAATTCCCGCAATGATTTTCAACTCATTTGGGTTCAAGCTTCAGACTGACTGACTCTTCTGCAAAACAGCTGAAAGCAGTTGGTAATTTGCTATGAGACACAAGTAGCAGTTTGTCAGTCGAGGAGGTGGAAGCAGCCACAGAAACAAAGCCTTTGACGAACAAAACCAAAACATAGATCAGAGAGTCATGATAAAAAAAAAAAAAAAAACAAGTAAACACCAGAAAAGAGATGGGCAGACTTATGTGATCTGTAAGTGTTGTACAGGCAATTCTTGCTCAGCAGCCATCAAGCTAAGTCTATTAAACCCTGACTGTTTGGCTCATCCCTCAGATCAACTCACAGTTTTGATTTCACAACTGATGAATTCACCTGGCTTGTTTCAGATACCCCCCAACAAATGATCTACAAGTTTTGCATGAATAATCAATCATCTCTAATTTCCTGTGACAGAAAGCTCCATTTCCTCCCTCATTGAAAGAGCTTCCAGTCTTCTGTTCGAAAGTTTGTTTGGTGCTCGTTAGCAAGGGCGTATTTGTGCATCTAAGAAAAGCAGGAAAGTTGGCAGAGCGGCTGGCAGAGGAGGTTGGCTTTATTAGCAGATTGTGCCTCACTTGATAATTGCTCATTTTTTTCCCTCTTCTGCACCTTTACACAGAGAAAGTGGCGTTCATGTTGGATCTTTTACAGAACTGGTAATACCTCCAATTTCAGCTTTATCCTCCTATTAAACTGATCACAGTGTGACTAATGAGGCGATTCATTTTAGATGTGTAAATTTAATACACCACATATTTAAAAATATATATTTATTTTTCTATAAAAATGAAGACTGGTATAATGCACAGATGGTTTGCCTGAAATGTGCTTTTCCTGTGCTCRTGTTTTGAATTAGTCCTGCCTCAGTGGAATAGCTCCCAGGAACAAACCTTACAACCTACCTTCCTTTCCCCTCCCTGCATGTTTGCACCGTCACAGCGTGTTTCACAAACTCAGTGTGATATTTACTTTTACAGTCTCAAAAACTACTTGGAGGTGCAACATATTTTTTGACTCTGCATGCAGCGATAATTAGGCTATAAAAATTGGGGTTTGGGAAATATATTTTGTATATTTTATTRTTAGGTTTTACATTAGAGATTACAAATTTTTGTGTTTGTAGAAAAGACCTGCTGTGTGACTCACTGGGCTGTTAYTGTTGACGTTGCAAACAGGAGAAATGTGCAGATAATTTTAAGTTGTGCCAGTATCCTGCTGACACCATTACTCTGACTTTCAGGTCTATCTAGTTTCAAGCTATTTTTTAAAAAAATATTATTATTTTATTGAAATGTGACTGCCATAGCCACATTATGAAAAAAAAAGACTTTAAGACATTATAATGAAAGCATTTTTTTTACATTTGGTTTATTTCAGCCATACTAAACTCAAAACATCAAAATGAAACTGTTTTTATTAAACTGGCAGCTATTTTCTGCCAAGATACCCTGAGTGTTCTTATTTGAAATTATGAGCATCTGAGCTGTGAGGATGCACAGATATAAGGGCTTGTTGAGTTTTAATGGCAAAGATTTATAAAATAACCTTTTGAATTCTAATTCAAAACTACAGAAGCAGTACATTAATAAAGTTGTTTTTAGCACACAATTTACTTTTTGCTTCATTGCCTATTTGTTTTCTATTTGTAGCTTTTTTTATACATATAAATAACATAAAAAGATACAAAGCTCAATGTTCACCTCAAGAAGCAGAATCCCCCACAGCAGGCTCTGCTCCTGTGCTGCATCAAACTCCTTGTTTGTTAAGGCTTTTATTCCTCACCTCTCTGGCTTATTTGGTACATCTCAAACAAAGAACGAGTAGCTGTGTTGCTTTTTGCACTTCTAGACAAAAGCAGAAAAGCGATCTTGAGATCATAGCCAAATGGGCCATTTGAGGCTTTAAGAACAGTGTGTTTCAGATGTGACAAAGTGCTGGATTGGTTTTAAACTGAGGGGAAAAAATCATTTGTTTTGGGGAAATTAAACTGTTAGATGTCTTTAAATGAACCCCAGAACAGTAACTTGGAAATCAGCATAAAATGGGTCCCTGAAAAATAAAGGCCAGCAATTTAAGTTTTAATAATTTTAATCTTGAAATTGACACCAACTTCAAATAATGATTTAAAATTAAAACTGTCTCCTTTTAAAACTTCTATTTTTCATGTGACTTGGAAGCTGCTTCTTTTAAACTACCAGAGAAAAACAGAGACAATTGCAGGCTGAAGATGCGAAACAAAGAATGAGAGTTTAAATTATGATATGCCAGTTGACAGAGCATTTAATTACGTGAATGTAATCGAGACGCCGGCTGATGGCATCACACCCAGTTTCACTTTAACCCCACATAACAGCTATAAAGAAAAGCATACCCTTCTYTGGAACCATCAACTTTTTCCAATCATGAATTGTGTTTTCCAGCTCCAACACACCAGATTTAGTGACTGAATGACCTCTTCATCACTCATCCAAGCAGAAAAACCACTAAAATGTGCAGGATAGTGTTCCGAGGATMAGGATTGGACACCCCTGGTCTAGACATTGCATTAACTCTTATACACGTGACTCCGTGACACGTTCTCTTCTCTGTGGCTTAAACTATAATTTAGGCTTTTCTGACTGTGGCAAGGCAAACATGATCAGCTCAAATGACACAACTGGAATTGTCCTACTCGACCAGCTCAAACACTAGCAAGACAATCTGTGATTAAATTGAGACTTTAAACAAAAAATAAATAAATAAATGAAAGATGACTCAATTTTTGTCTTCTTATATTTTAAAACACAGGTTTCTATTCTCTACTTTTAAGCAACAAAGTGTCACATTATGTWAGACCAGTCTGTATTTAAAAGAAATGTCTGCGTTGCTGCCACTGCCTAAGAAAATGCAAAATTAAGTTGATGCTAATTATGATTCAGGATGTGATATTAATACAGTTAGATTTGTTCAAAATGTTTATATCTAAGGGGAAGAATATGAACAGATTGAAACATGTATTTATTCACATATTTATATATTAACATAGCAGGCATTCAAAGACAAAGTGAAATCAAATGGTGTATAAATTTGTAATAATACCACATAGTATCATGTTACCATTACAATTCATAACTGTGTCAAATTTACAATCCCTTTTGTAAAAAAGCTTCAGATAGTAGCAGAATTTAGACTGTGGTGTGTATCTTTGGAGTAATATGAATAAAATATTCACTTTAAAGTCAATCCTAATAAAAATGTAAAAACAACCCTTYACACATTCATTGCTGCTCTGTTTCTGAGCCGCTTCTGTGTTTTTCTTTTTCGGTCTTTTTTTTTTTTTGGAGGAGATAAAAGGCTCACAGAATGAACACTGAGGAAGTTGAAAATGAAATGTTAAGTTCAAAGTTGATTGCAGAAAGCAGGTTTTTAAAAATATGCAAAGAAAGTGACAGTAAGAGGATTTGCATTTCCTTATATGCATAAAATGTGTGCTGGGAATTGGTATTCAATGCGAGCATCAAACAGATACCAGAGCTCAACTTAACTTAGAGGAAATTGCACCTTTCCGTAAACTTTCCAAAACTGCTATAGTGCTAACTCACCTTAACGCAGAGCCAAGTGTCAAGATGAAATCAGATAAAAGCGACACTTTAGGCTCTGTTTTATCAAGCTGGTGGGACTTTCTAAGTTTTGGTCTAAATTCCAGAGATGGAACCCCCACCCCTTTTTTTTCATGGCTCAAAGCAAAAAYATTTTACTCTGGTTTGACTCGTCTGCATCCCAGTCACGGAAGGTTGCTACCAGGCTCAGGCTCGCAAGAAATCATGTGTTAAATTCCAGCTGTCCAACAAATTACAGAACAGGAGGAATCAGCTTCCTCTGACACAAGCAGGCAGCAAAATTCCACTGTTGGTCATGTTCTGTCTAATGTATTTAGTGGATTTATTTTAATATACAGTATATAAT